TGGGTCGAAATAGTCCCCAGTTGGTCGAAGACCGGTGATGGAAGCCACGTCGAAAAGCGTGGGTGTTAGCATTCCACAAGGAAGGTGGAAAGTGAAATGAGTATAATCCCAGAAAAGCAAAGAGGCTATCAGCATCTCAGGGGAGTAGTTGAGACCAGTCTTCGACAGCATGACTAGGTCGTATATTCCCAGGTTCTTCCAGATCGAAGCCTGGCTTTTTTCCATCTTCTCTAGCCAAGCGCTGTAGTCTGGTGTAAGACTAGGGCTAGACCTAAAAGCCCTAACACCTCTATTGAAGAATCGAAGATCTATTTTTTCCTTAGCAGGATCTTCGTTGTCATCTGCAGCCTTTTTGGAGCACCCAACAGGTTTGAGCGCCTCAAGCACCAAAAAGAAGTTCTTGATCTTTGTGGATTCATCAATGCATGGGGATAACGAGCCAGACATGGCGAAAATCTGGTTGGAGTATCCAACCGGAATCATTAGTTGATGTGAATAAGCTTCACGCTCAGCAGTTTCCAGGGGTTCAGGAACCCTTCGCAGGCCTGTAGAGGTAACTGTTGGAACAATTGAGAAGATTTTTGGTTTAGCATTTCTAGAAGGAATGTTGGAACTAGGAGCGTTAGAGGAACCTGAAGCCATTTTTTAGTTAAGATTGAAGGTGAGTGAAGAACAAAGTGTTTGCAGGTTTGCAGAAGTTTTTGTGTTCAACAAGAAGGTTTGGATGCCGAATGGCGTGAAAAAATCCCACAAGGGGGTAATTAGTGTTATTTATAGTGGTTGGGAAATCACAAAATTCGAGGCCATTTAATGTTGTAGAAGATAGTGGGACACGTGGCGCTCCTTCGCTGACATAGCCGTTCTGCATAAACGAAACGGTGTAGCGTGCGCCCTCGTTTTTGGGAAATTGTCATGATGACAATCTGTGAAAGGACATTGGGCACGCTAAACGCCTTACTGAGGTGACGTCTTAGGTACAGATGGAATGATGGCTTTTTCTTGGGATTGTCAGTTGGTTGGTAGAAGACAAAAAGCGCACAGGTTAATCTGTGGCTAAGAATGAAGGACAGGTGTCGAGTGGAATCTCAAAGAATGCCTTTTTCTTTTCAGCGTCGAAATAAGGCATTATTGGGGGGCAATTTGTTGGCTCCTAAATTCGACACCCTTGTTTTTATTAATATAAACCATTAATTGAGAGGGATGGTTTCGACCAGCTGATTCTGTCGAAATGCTCATCAGAAGGTGGCAAGATACTTAGAGAATTTCTTCTAAGTAGGAATCTTCTTGCCTTCGACGTCGAAGGTTCTTCTCGACAAAGGTATTCGATGCTCAGAGTGGAACGGTTTGAGATTCAAATGTTTGGAGGGAAAACGGTTCCCAGCGGTTACCAAGTGCAACGTGCCAAGATCAGGAGCGTCTAATGCTGTGAGCGTGCCACGTGGAGTCATCTCGAAGCAGCGTAACTGCCCGACAGTTACTTGAGATGTGTTTAGTATAAATACTAGTTGTTCACGTAGTTTTTCGCGTGTGTTCACAATTATATACAAGTCACTCATTTAGATTCAAGTACCCAGTGTGAGCGAAAGAATTGTTGAGAATGTATGTGTGAAACACCATTTTAATTAATCAAAGTCATTTATTTTCCAGAACTTTATTGCTCTTCATTTACTTTTCCAGTCGAAGCCTTTATTTAAAGCTTTCCTTTATTCTACCAAGTTTTCCTTCATGCAATTTACATAAAGTGTCTTTATTTTCTTGTCATTTAACCATCATTAAACTTAGTCAAAACCCCAAAAATCAACCATGTCTTAGGATCAATCTGATCGATCCTGCGAGTCACCAAATAGATAACCTTTTGGAGGATCAGCGGTTGTTTACCAATTCCCACGGTAAACACAATGTCAAAGGAAAAAGGAAATGAACATGAAAGACTTTTGAGTAGGTAGATTGTTCCTAGTTACTTGCTCCATTTCAAAACAAAAACATCCTTGCTATTTTCAAAACAAACACCAACACTTTCAAAACATCTTTCAAACTTGAAAACATTTTCAAAAGATCAAACACTTTTTATACATTCATACGAACGAGAATCATTACAAAGCTTACCCAAACGATGAAGCATTTTCAAAATACTTTCAAAAACCACACAAAGCACATTTTCAAACAAAAGCAAGTGATCTAGCAAGTAACTAAGAGTCCATGGAAAACCATGGATGAAAAGGGTGCTAATACCTTCCCTTTTCATAATTTACCCCCCGAACTCAAGAAACAATCTCAAAGGTCTTTCCTGTGTTTTTTCACCTTTCCTTTTGGATAAAAGAAAAGTCGGTGGCGACTCTTGTTAACCGCAACATTTGCGATCAAACGCAAAACACCCAAGTCAGTTCTCCCACCGTATCACAAAGTGGTTTATCAATTATTTCTTAACATTCATTAATCTAAGTGTTTTAACTTCAACTACACATTAGGTATATTTTTCAATCTAAGTATTTTTTTTCTCTTCATGCATTAAGAAATAGATACATTAGGTTGTGTAAGAAACATTACTATATAGGTGTTTACACTCACTGTTAGGTAGTTTATTGAGCCATGTGTTTTGTACCATTTTTGTTTTCTCTATGTTTCTGCCATTTTTGTGTTTTATATGTTTCAGGATACTTTGGAAGTGCACTCCCATATTTTCTGAATTTAATTTTCTAAGAATATGAAAGTGAACTTCTGTATTATGTCTATATTGTTTAATTTTGAATGTCTTTTATCCAAGATTTGATTTTTTTCTTCTAATTTTCCTTGTTTGCCTTGTTTAATTATAGGTAACATGATTGACAACCAAGAATGACTGAGGCATAGTACAATCTCCTTGCATGCATCTGTTGGTGCCAATTTATTTGACGTGAATGCATCAACTTTTAGAGTCTATGTGTCCCTGACTTCATCTTCCCAGAGGCATGTGTCACCTATTACCGCCTCGAAAGCCTCACTAGTCCATGTTGATGCACATGTTGTCGATGCTTCTGTTCTTGAGGAGTTTAAAAGAGGCCCTTATGACACTTCATAACTATCTTTGTATGCAACCCATGCTTCTAGGCATGTGTGGTGTAACATCCTGATTTATTTAATTAATTTTCGTAAATAAATTGTGTGATGGTATGTGTTGGTTGATGATTTGTCGTGTTAAAGAAACCTTTAGGTGTATGGTGGTAGCCTTAGAAATGTAAGATTTAAGGTGTTTAAGTAAAAATGTAGTAATTAATTACTATTAGTTGATTATAATTATTTTGATTATTTAAACAGTATTAGAGGAATATTATTTAAATAAATACTTAGTGAGAATAATATTTATTTTATTTAGTTGGAATAAGTTTAATTAGAAATAATAATATATTAAAATAAGAAAAGAAGGAAATAGGAAGATAAATTGTCAGAATGTGAAATTGAGGAGAAAGACAGAGAAAGAGAAAAGAGGGATAAGATGTAGGAGAAGAAGAACCTCCATTAGAGAAGCTTCAATATTCATCATCCAAGGTAATGGTGAGATTTCCTCTTGTATAAAGGATTGTATGATAACATGTGGGTGAGTGTTTTAGTCTTTTTGTGATTGTTTTTGAAATTCTGGTATTCAGATCACAAATGTCTTAAAAGATGTCGAGACACCTTTTTCTTAACAAGCACGCAATGACAAGATAAACGATAAATCGAAGTGCAGAAAAGTAAAGAACACACAAGATTGTTAATCCAGTTTGGTGACCAACACCTACTCTGGAGGCTACCAAGCCAGGGGTCAAGTTAACTACTAATAATATCAATTCAAAGTTAAACTCTCCCATTTACAACTTTTCACTTAATCACTACCCTTACTTAACTTCTACCTAAGGCTCATCTGGGTATGAGACCCTTATCAAATCCCTTCCCATCACAAATCAGTGACTCAACAATTCTAAACACTTAAAAAATCACATAAGTCACACTTCAAAGACACACAATCATTCGCTGCTTACAAGCTTTGAAATGATTGACAAAACTTACAACAAAAACAAAGTCCTACTCTTTTATCAACATGATAATCGAGAGGCTCACAATAAACACACAAACCCTAATCAAAATATAATGTAAGTTCGTAAAAAACAACTAGGCTTGAAGCCTTTTATTTATAATCTTCATTGAACTGGATTTGAGCTTCACAAATCCCAATTGGATAAAAATAGGTGATGCAAAATTATCTCCTCAAAGATAGGACATCAATAATTAATTTCCAAAATTATCTCTATAATTAAAAACTAACAATTCTCCTGAAATCACCTTGAATCTTTTTCAATCTTCAAACTGAACACCACATGAAATATCACAATCTTCACATAATATTCTGCACTTGTAACAAATCAAAATATCCAAAAATCTAACTGTCAAAAGAGCACGCATAGGACATCACATATGACATGTTGCTTCAGTACATAGAACATCTTTATTCAACATGTCAAAGCTAAGTTAATTTTATCAAATATAACAAAACAAAGAAATAACAATCTCCTATATAACTTATTTTGACTAAAACAACTTAACACATCTTCCACGCATAAACAACCTAATATATAAACCTGTCTTTAACTTCCATCGCCAACTATTAAAAATTGATAAAAAACCCCGTGCACTAATTCACCGCCAACCGTGGAAATAAACTTGTGTACGGTGGAGTATGCAATAAGAATTCTCCCCACCGTCTTATAAACTTATTTTATAATAATTTTTTTAATATCATTGTATGCGTATTTTCTCTTTTCTCATTTTAATTTTTTTATTAATTAATTATTTCAACGTCATTTCCTGATTTCTAATCCCTTTTCAACTATTGTCTCATTATATCCTCAAAAATAAATCAGAATTTTGGAGGGAAAATAACTAAGAGCCAAAATTCCTCAACACTCTTCTTCAAATTTTATTTTCTTCTTCCCTTTCCATTTTCACTCCCAATTCTTCCACCTAATTTATCAAAATCCATCACCATGTTCGATTCAAATCTCAACCGCAAGCGCCCCTTCCCACACATTCCTTCAGCCGCCATCATTTTAAACCATCTCGACGTCCCTCTATTCTCCTCCACCGAAAACGGCGTCGTTTCGCGCTGCACCTCCATGCTTCTCCACGCCGACCAACCCTACCTGATCGGCCGGAAGCCTCGCGACTGTCAATTCGTCTTCAACGACCGCCGTGTAAGTAAGCGGCACTGCCAGATCTTCTTCGACGGCTCCCTTCGCAAACTCTACGTTCTGAGCGGTGTTTTGTCACACGCCGATTACTCCGAATTTCGTCTCATTCACGAGTTCAGGAAAAGAGTCACGGTTTCTTCTCAGGGGAGCGAGGGTTTTCCGTTTCTAGAAGCTTCGAATGGTGTTTTTGTTAACGGTGTTGAAATTAGAAAGGGAATGGCGGTGGAGTTAATGGAAGGGGATAGGGTTTCACTTGTTTGTGGAAACATGAGCGGTTCGTGTGGGATTGGGAATCGGATTGGATTTGTTGTGGAGAGAATTGCTGTAGAAAGTTGTGATGGTGCTGGTGAATTTGATAGGTTGACATTTTCAGGGTGCTCACAAAGTGGGAAACGAAGCAAGAGGGTTTTTGCAGTGAAGGCTAATGATTCAAAATTTGAGGGAGTTTTTGGTAGGGCAAGGTTTCTTGTGGATATGTGTAGAGATATATTGCTTAGTGATGATCCTTTGTCTTGCATTAAGCGTTCTGTTTCAGATTTACAATGTGGATACAAGTGTGCCATTGGTACCGAGTTAGCGCAGAGGGTTGCGGAAGGCAATGGTATTGATACTGTACAGTCAAGTTCAGGTGTACTTTCTGAAAGTAAAGTGATGAATTTGGAGGAAAATGGTGGAAAAAATTGTGCAAAAGGGAATTTGGGAGTTGATGCTCTTTGTGATGAGAATTCTAATTTGATAGTGTCGGATTGTATTGAGAAGGATAATGTTTCTGATGGAAATAACTGGCAGGGAAATGATGGATGCAATCCACCTCCAGGGAAGAATTTTTACTTGAATCGTCTTGAATTTATGAACCAAGACTCATCGGGTGGTGATAAATCTATATCACTCAACGAACTTATTAATCCTATAGAAAGTGTGACGGGGATCTTTATTGCAACCTTTACAAGTGACATACAGTGGTGGGTTTGCCTAATTTTGCACAATGTATTATTTTTCTATGATGATGTTCTTTATTTTATTTATTTTTCAATCCATTATACCCCCTGACCTGTGTTTCTCTTTATGTTTAAATACATGCTTGGTATTTTGCTGGCAACCTGCTATGTGCACTCTCATTAACATTATACTGATGGATATCTTCAATTCAATAGTATGTGTTGACTTCTGCACTTGAAGTTGTTTTGTTTACGTTACCTAATTGCTCTTTCTAGGTTCTTGTCATATTGCAAGATTCCTGTACATCTTCCGGTTACAATCGCTTGTCAGAATACCGAGAGGTGTTGGAGTTCAAAACCCGATGAAAGAGTATCAGTGCCTTACCACAATTATCCTAACTTAGTTGTAGTGTAAGGACTTTTTCTTTTCTTTTTGATTAGTGGTGGAAATATACAGCTTAATTTTTTTTCTCCTCTTGTAATTTACTTTCTTGTTGGATACCAGGCATCCTCCATTCCCTGAAACCATAGCATTTGGTAAAGACCGCAATAGACATGGGATAGCTTGCCATCACCCGAAGCTGATTGTTCTGCAAAGAGATGATAGTATTCGAGTTGTCATTACATCTGCTAATTTGGTGGAAAAGCAGGTATTTTATCAGCCGAACTTCTAGTTATTAATATGAATACATGATATTTATCTTGCAACTTGGAGAGGAAAAATGATGTTTTCATGCAATGCAATCTATTAAAGTAGTAACTTAGACATCAAATCCCTGGTGGTTTATTGCACTCATTGGTGACATGTTTCTAGTTTAGGAGTATTATACCTATGTGGTCTTCTTGTATCCAACCTATATCATAAGCAATGTACTTAAATTCATTTTCTAGAACGATTGAATATAGGGTTAATTGGGCTTGGTTGTTGTGGGTCAGTAATTAGAATGATGATTTTCTATCGTGAAGAATGAAGACATGTGCACATTTAGTAAAAGAAAAACTTACCATTATATAGAATGTGTGTAATTAATATTACTAATATTATAAGGGACAATGACTTTTAAGTAAAGAATAAACCATCAATTTAGTCCCTGAATTATCACTCTCTCTTCGATTTAGTCCCCAAACAATATAAACACAACAAGTAGTCCCTTAAGAAGAATAAACTATCAATTTAGTTCATAAACTATCATTCTCCCTCTAATTTAGTTCCTAAACTATATAAAATATAATTAGTCCCTGAAATTTATGTATGCCAATCATGTAAATGCTCCCTCCGCCCCACAACGAGTGACCCATTTGCAAAAAAGAGGGTCTCAAAATGAATGACTAATTTCAATTTACAATGCAATATTAATTCCTTTTTTTCCAATTGTACCCTTTAATTAATACTACTTTCATCATTCCCTATACTTGATAGTGAGTACTATGGTAAAAAATTCTTCTCTCTCTTTCATTTATACATTTTTCTTAATATATGTGAAATTGTCAACTGAGTCACTCATTGTGGGACGGAGGGAGTAACTTTTTATCATGTGAATAATAGGTTTATCACTGTGTTATGTCTATATTTCCTTAGCATAATAATATTTTGATCAATTTTTATTGCTATGTAGTGGATCAGTGTGACTAATACTATTTGGTGGCAAGATTTCCCTCGTGCCATTTTGGTTGATTTTGCTTCACTTTTCCCAAAAATAGATGATGAAATTCATAGAGACTCAAAATGTGATTTTGCTGCTCAGTTGGCTGGGTTTATGGCATCACTTGTTATTGATATACCTAGTCAGGCTCACTGGATTACTCAGCTCACAAAATATGACTTTGGAAGTGCAACAGGACATCTTGTAGCCTCAGTACCTGGAGTTCACCTTAATAGAACTTCTATTCTGGCGGAATCCTTTCGGCCCTCTTCTTTAAATACTCAAGTATGTCATGCAAGATATTGCTATTTAATTGAGGAGACTCTTCCTTTTTCACTGCATCTGTATTGTTTTTTAGGCTTCGCTATATGGCACGAAGAGTTATTCATCCAAAAGCAACGAATGAGGAATCTGGCTTGCGTTTCTTTTACCTTTGACAATTAATACTTTAAAAATAAAATATTATAAATTTAAGAATTATTGGAATACACATTCTCGTGGTGAAATAATGAATTTCCTATTGTACTAACCATCATTTCCCTTGATTTTTAAGGATATAAACTATCATCTACTTAAGTTCTTAATATGTTTAAATTTTTTAAAGTTGCACCCACCTAACTTCTAGGTGGGTTGGAATATTATTAGCGTCATCAGTACAAACTTTTAGCATAGTCTGTTATTTGATATGAAAGTATCATTATTGAATACAAAACATTGAAGAAAACTTATTTGTATGGTGTAATCTATTTTTTTCATCTTAATTATTTTATACCATACTCTTCTTCTAAAATTCAATTCAAAGTGGGAGTTTTTTTCTCTCTGATTTGATTCAGCCTTAATATTAGCTATCTTATCATTTGATATGATGTCTTTGTTCAAGCCACTTTCTGTTTTGGATTTTTTGACTGCAATGTATACTCTTATATACACTAATTGCAGTGCATTTTGTCATCTGGTTTGTAGTTTCTTGGCTCAGTTTTAGCATCTGTGGTTGGTTTGAGCCATCTTTTCCGTACTGTGGCAGACTCAAACGGTGCGGGTATAAAAGCATTGGCTGCTGTGCTTGGAAAGTCCTGTAAGAATGCTCATGGGAGGTTTGAGATCGTTTTAAGAAGAAATCCCAATGTGCCTGCTGATGAAAATGCAGTTAGCGTTCTTGTTCCCAAATCTGATCAAACTTCCGAGGGAGGTAAAAGCTACACTGCTTCAGATTTTTTTGTGCCATGTGTGATGAATCATTAATTCTTCATTTATCTTATGATTTTCAAATTTAGTTTTATTTATTTATTTATTTAAATTTTTTTTTTTTGTGTTTTGGACTAGAGTTATAATTTTTATCCCGTCAGTAACAGAAATAAAAAATAATGCCTTTTTGTTCCTTTTTGTAGATTATGTTCAACTTGGTTTTTTGCCTAGAAATGTAGCAAAATGGGTTTCTCCTCTCTGGGATGCTGGATTCCTTGCATTTTCTGGATATGTTTATCCAAAAGAAGCCCTTGCAGCTGCGTCGGGAGAAAACTGCCAGAAAGTACAACTGATACTAAATGTGTCAGAGGTGTGAACGGTGTCTTCTGTAGCAGGACTTCTTTATTGTCCTTGTATGTATGACCTGATATTTTTTAATAGTTATCTTATGAACTTGTAGGGACCTCATTTTCGAGACATGTCAAAGATGATGCAATCTGAAAAGATTGCTGCTTTTTGCTCACTCATTGCTTCAATTCAAAGACATTATGGACTCTGGAGATTACGAGAGGTAAGTGGCACTAAAACGGAAATGCTTTTTGTTTTGATTGAAATGGTTTGCCCTTATTTTAATGTTGGAGCCAAGGTTATATTTGATTTCCTTTTGTTGTTTGGTTGGACTTAATAAGTTATAAATTTCTTTTTTTGTTGCATAAACACTTTCCAGTCTTCTCGCACATGGATGAAGTTTATGCTAAAATAACTTTTGAAATATCCTGTTATGTAAACTTACTATTCCTGTTTTTAATAGGTTCTGAATCAATATAGATGGCCTGAATCATTGGAGTCTGAGATTGTATATGGTAAGTCCATTTTTTGAATTTTTTTAGTACAATGCCAAACCGATTTCACTAGAAAGTTAAATCAAGTAACCGACCTTTTTTCCCATTCCTTTTGGACTATTTTGTTTGGTCTTTTTTGTCTATCAGGGGCTTCTTCCATTGGTTCTGTCAGTTCAAAATTTCTTGCTGCATTTTCGGCTGCTGCTGGGAAGAAGTCACTGCAACATTTTGATTCAGAAGAGTCTGATCCTGAAGTAATTTGGAGGCCTTTGCTTTTCCATTGGTTTTGCTTGATTTTTTTTTACATATCTGCTGCTGGATGTATGATTCATTAAACTTATGCATTCACCGATTCAGTAATTCAATGATGTTTTTGACAGTGGGGCTGCTGGAATGCTAGGGAAGAATTGAAGAATCCTTCTGTTAAGATTATTTTCCCCACAATTGAAAGAGTGAAAAGTGCTTACAATGGGATTATGCCTTCAAGACGTATTCTTTGTTTCTCAGAGGTAATATTATTTTCTTATTAGCTATGAATGGGTAAAGGAGGTCTTGGAATATGTAATATTTCTTTGGGGTATATTCCTCTGGTACCTTTTATTTTATAAGGTAACCTCAGTGAATGATAGTCAGTAGTTTTCATAGGACCCTTTGATTGCAATATGAATACAAAAACAACTTGCTGTGATAATATTTCAAATAAGTAGAACAACTGGACTGATTTTAACTAATAATCATTAAGGTGTGCCAGTATCCTCACAAAAAGGTTACAAATAGCTTCAATTAAGACATTTGGAATATTCAAAGATATATTTTGTCCTCTCATGAGTTATTTTAGGTGGCAGGATCATGTGAAGAGACACCGACACACACCAACATTGTGCATATGACATATTATTGTGGGGTCCTCTTCAGGATCTCTGTCCATCTCACATGTCAAAAATTCATTTTTAAAGGGGTATTTTATAGGAAGAGTCAACAACTGACCCCTATCCTCCCCAGATAACCTTTTCAAATGGTTATTTAGGGGAATTATTTGAACAGAACATTAACTTGGAGCTTTGAAAATCAAGAGTTTTGTTCATGACTATCTTTTTGACTCCACACATATAAATGCCTTTCATCTTGTGGCTGTTCATGTTTGATTAGTTTTGGAACTCTTTTCTTCAGAATTTATCTTAAAGAGGTGAACTTTGGATATTATAAATGTTTTCTTGTAAAGAACTTATTCTCTCTCTTTGAACAGAAAACATGGCAAAGGTTGAAGACTTTAGATGTACTTCATGATGCCATCCCTCTTCCCCATGAAAGAGTAGGGCATCCAATGCATACCAAGGTAACCCCCTACACATATGCTTTGATGACAAAATGTTTATAGAAAATATACTCAAAAAAGTTTTATTTTTTATTTTTAATTTTTTTAATTTTTGGTGCATATTTTCTTATCTTGACAAAACCTTAATCTTGTTTAGGTGATATCTGTCATGACACCAGTCGACATGATATGGTCATATTAATTTGTTAGCATATAAGCAAATGTATCAATAAATACTACATGCTCCTGCGCCCAATGTATCCAAAATGAAATAAATAAAAGATTACACATTGGGCGGGGTGTGGGTGGTGTGTGCGCAATTTCACCAGATGACTAGCTTTTGTGATAGTTGACCCCAATAACCTGTTTCCTTTGTTTTTCTTCTTTTCCTGCATGTGCTGTGATAATAGTTTCGATTTGCCAAAGGTATCCCCCCATTTTCTGCTCTACACTATTGCAAGTTTTGTCTTTCTCTCTGAATAAGCTACTGTCAAGTTTCTAAGGAAAACAAGAGAATCTAAACCAATTGGTAGTGAAGGAGGACCTCTTGTTATGTCTTCATTGTTTATGCTTTTCATTCCACCATAGCTTTGTTAGTTATTCACTGTGGTTGCATGTTCACTCTGTTTGAGTAGGTTTTCTGAGGAATCTTTTACTAACTTTGATTCATGCACGTGGTATGGTTGTCACTTGGTTTCCTTTTTATATATGCCATGCTGTTCTATAAGGAGATTTAGATCCTTTGAGGAGGAAAAAAAAGTAAGACATCTTAATCATTAAAGAGAAAACCAACAATTAATGAGTTATGAATTTGGGGGATATAAAGATGATTTGGTGACTGGGATGAGGGAGTTAAGTAGTAGAGTCATACAAAGGGTGAGAATTCGATCCTCACTCCCAGTATAGTACTAACATTGTCCGTTTCAATTTTTTCTTTTATGAATTTGTTAAAACCTACTCCTTTGATTTTCTCATTAATTATTGAGATGCTTCACTTTTCTGTCTAATATGAACAGAAAACCAACAATTAATAAGTTATGAATTTGGGGGATATAAAGATGATTTGGTGACTGGGATGAGGGAGTTAAGGAGTAGAGTGATACAGAGGTTGAGAATTCCATCCTCACTCCCAGTATAGTACTAACATTGTCCGTTTCATTTTTTTCTTTTTTGAATTTGTTAAAACCTACTCCTTTGATTTTCTCATTAATTATTGAGATGCTTCACTTTTCTGTCTAATATGAACTCCTCACTTTGGAAGAGTCAAATCGTGGTTTGGGTGATTTGCTTCTCAATTATTGAGCTGATATCTGTTTTCCTCCTTATACCAGAAATGTATTAAGTGAATTTATGTAAAAAATTGCAGGTGGTGCGCAGATGCTTCTGGTCTAGGAGGGATGCGCCTTCAATTGGTTGGGTATACTGTGGGTCTCATAATTTTAGTGCTGCTGCCTGGGGGCGACAAATTTCAAGTCCATTTGGTACAAAAGCAGACGGGCCTTGTAAAGGAGACCCAACCATGAATTCTGGGCTTCATATTTGCAATTATGAACTTGGGATTATATTTACTTTTCCTCCAACAGAAAATAATGATTGTCATAAAGCTAAAAGCACAAAATTAGGTGATATTGTTCTGCCATTTGTTGTTCCTGCTCCTAAATATGGATCTCAAGATAGGCCAGCTACAAAACTTGCTATGAGAGAGGTGATGACTGAACTTGCTGAGCGAGAGGAGGAGAAACAAGCTGAAGAAGAAATGATGGAAGAGATTATTGAGGAAGAAGAAGAAATAGAAGAAATCAATTGTGTTGGACAGGAGAAGGAAGAAGAGAAGGCATATGCAGAGATACTCTGGAGTCAGGTTGATTCTTCCCAGAATAGTTGAACTTTTGAAAGCGGCAAAATTTGAAAGCAGGAAGCAGTAGTTATGGAGCAGTCAACACAAGTACATTGGTGTTGGGGGAGTCTTGGGGGGTATCTGGTTGCGAGATGCAAAGGTGGCTTTGAAGATTACATGAGTATCAAACTTAATCCGAGATATTAGGATTGAAGAGCAAAGCTGTTGACCTCCTGTCAAGAGAATGATTAGGACTCATCCAACAATGACTTATCTGAAGCAAATTGATTTATATTTGGAGGAGCAAGTGGTGTTTTCAACCTCATGTAATCCAGTCCATTTTAGGCAGGACGGATTATTGATACTTTCTTGCCCCTGGTACCAAATCCCAATTACTCTGAGCACCGTGTTGATTCAGTTCGACCTCCACATGGTTTTTTTAGTGAAATATATTAGAACGATAGACGGAATAGAAGGACCACAGGTAGCATCTTATAGTTTTAATTGAGAATTCAATTGGAGGACTTACATACAACAAGACAGTGAAAACTGTGCAGTAGCCTCGAGAAACTATGATAATTAGATCAATAGTATATTTTATTTAATTATTATTTTTCTGATAGATCTTGATGATCAGCTTTGAAAACTAGAGACTGGACAAGAGGCAGTTGCTGTCATGTCTACTGTGGTCCGAGTTGGGTTAGCATAACTGAACACTAGTCTTCTGCGGCATGGTATACTATATTGGATCTGTAAGGTGCAAGGATTTACTTTGTTGCATACTTAACATTAATATTCCATTCAATTAATTCATTGTAAGTAATAATTCTGAAGGCTGCAACCACCTCTTATTGGATTGTGTCAGAAGTACCCACCTTAGTTAGTAGTAGTAACTGGAAATTAGTTGGCTAGCTTACAGGTGGTTAGATATTTTACAGTTAATAAGCTCTATAAATAGTGCAATATTGTAATTTATTGATAATTTTTCTATATGTAACATTTGACAATTCCTCTTATCATTAACCTCTTTAGCAAGCTAGTGTTTTTGTCATATTTCCTCTTCCTCTTATATTAGAGATTGTAAGATCAATTCATGTATACCTTGTAGTTAAACCTATTTATTATATATGGAAGAGAAATGATTGTTGTGTTGCTTGAGATAGTACACTGCATTACTAAATGGTAGGTTTCCCGCTTTTTCATGTCAATGAATTGCCTTTTCTTTTCAACTTCTAGTATATGTGAATCAACATTAATTATAAGAGTTTTGAAATATGTGTGTAAGAATGTAGAAAAAGCACGTGTAAATAAGTTTTATAAAAACTTAATTTTCATTCAATTAATTCATTGCAAGTAATAAGCATTGAAAACTTCAACCACCTCTTATTGGATTGTGTTAGAAGTACACACTTTAGTTAATAGTAGTAATTGGAAATTTATTGAACACTTTTTTATATGTAACATTAGATGATTTCTGTTATCCTTAACCTCTTTAGCCAGCTAGTGTTTCTGTCAGATTTCTTCACCCTCTAATATCAGAGATTGTAAGATTAATTCATGTATATCTTATAGTAAAACCTATTTATTATATATTGAGGAGAAATGATTGTTGTATTGCTTGAGATAGTACAGCGCATTACTAAATGGTAGGCTTCTCACTTTTTTATGTCAATGAATTGTCTTTTTCTTTTCAACTTCTAGTATATGTGAATCAACATTAATTATAAGAGTTTTGAAGCACGTGTGTATGAATGTAGGAAAAACACGTGTAAATCAGTTTTATAGAAACTTAATTTTCATTCAATTAATTCATCGTAAAAAATAAAGTCTGAAGGTTGAAACCACCTCTTATTGAATTGTGCCAAAATTACACACCTTAGTTATTAGTAGTAACTGAAAATCAGTTGGCTAGCTTACATGTGGTTAAATAGTTTATAGTTAATAAGCTCTATAAATAGTGCAACATTGTAATTTATTGATTATTTTTCTATATGTAACGTTTGACAATTTCTGTTATCCTTTACCTCTTTAGCAAACTAGTGTTTTTGTCAGATTTTCTCTTCCTCTGATATCAGAGATTGTAAGATCAATTCATGTATAACTTGTAGTTAAACCTATTTATTATATATGGAAGAGAAATGACTGTTGTATTGCTTGAGATAGCACACTGCATTATTAAATGGTAGGTTTCTCGCTTTTTTATGCCAACAAATTACCTTTTTCTTTTCAACTTCTAGTATATGTGTATAAGCATTAATTATAAGAGTTTTGAAGCATGTGTGTAGAAATGTAGAAAAGCACGTGTAAATCAATTTTATAGGAACTTAATTTTCATTCAATTGATTCATTGTAAGTAATAAACTCTGAAGGCTGCAACCACCTCTTATTAGATTGTGCCAGAAGCACACACCTTAGTTAGTAGTAGTAACTAGAAATCAGTTGACTAGCTTACAGATGGTTATATAGTTTACAATTAATAAGCTCTATAAATAGTGCAACATTGTAATTTATTGATTACTTTTCTATATGTAACATTTGATAATTCATGTTATCCTTAACCTCTTCAGAAAGCTAGTGTTTTTGTTAGATTTCCTCTTCCTCTAATATCAGAGATTGTAAGATCAATTCATGTATACCTTATATGTAAACCTATTTATTATATATGGAAGAGAAACGATTATTGTATTGCTTGAGATAGTACACTGCATTACTAAATAGTAGGCTTCCCGTTTTTTTATGTAAATGAATTTCCTTTTTCTTTTCAACTTCTAGTATATGTGTATTAACATTAATTATAAGAGTTTTGAAGCATGTGTGTATGAATGTAGAAAAAGTATGTGTAAATCAGTTTTATAGAAACTTAATTTTCATTCAATTAATTCATTGTAAATACTAAACTCTGAAGGCCGCAACCACCTCTTATTGGATTGTGCCAGAAGTACACACCTTAGTTAGTAGTAGTAACTGTTGACTAACTTGCAGGTGGTTAGATAATTTACAGTTAATAAGCTCTATAAATAGTGCAACATTTGACAATTCATGTTATTCTTAACCTCTTTAGAAAACTAGTGTATTTGTCAGATTTTCTCTTCCTCTAATATCAGAGATTGAAAGATCAATTCATGTATACCCTGTAGTTAAACCTATTTATTATATGTGGAAGAGAAATGATTGTTGTATTGCTTGAGATAGTACACTGCATTACTAAATGGCAGACTTCCCACTTTTTTATGTCAATGAATTGCCTTTTAATTTTCTATTTCTAGTATATGTGAATCAACATTAATTATAAGAGTTTTGAAGCATGTGTGTATGAATGTAGAAAAAGCACGTGTAAATCAGTTTTATAGAAACTTAATTTTCATTCAATTAATTCATTGTAAGTAATAAACTCTTAATGCTGCAACCACCTGTTATTGAATTGTGTCAAAAGTACACACATTAATTAGTAGTAGTAATTGAAAATCAGCTGGCTAGTTTACAGGTGGTTAGATAGTTTATAGTTAATAAACTCTCTAAATAGTGCAACATTGTAATTTATTGATTATTTTTCTATATGTAACATTTGACAATTCCTATTACCCTTAACCTCTTTAGCAAGTTTGTGTTTTTGTTAGATTTCCTCTTCCTCTGATATCAGAGATTGTAAGATCAATTCATGTATACTTTTTAGTTAAACCTATTTATTATATATGAGATACAAATGACTGTTGTATTGTTTGAGATAGTACACTGCATTACTAAATGGTAGGCTTCCCGCTTTTTTATGCCAATGAATTGACTTTTTCTTTTTAACTTCTAGTATATGTGTATCAACATTAATTATAAGAGCTTTGAAGCATGTGTGTATGAATATAGAAAAGCACGTGTAAATCAGTTTTATAGAAACTTAATTTTTATTCAATTAATTTATTGTAAGTAATAAACTATGAAGGCTACAACCATCTCTTATTAGACTGCTAGAAGTACACACCTTAATTAGTAGTAGTAATTGGAAATCAGTAGGCTAACTTACATGTGGTTAGATAGTTTCCAGTTAATAAGCTCTATAAATAGTGCAACATTGTAATTTATTAATTACTTTTCTATATGTAACATTTGACAATTCCTGTTATCCTTAACCTCTTTAGAAAGCTAGTGTTTTTGTTAGATTTCCTCTTCCTCTGATATCAGAGATTGTAAGATTAACTCATGTATACCTTATAGTTAAACCTATTTATTATATATGAAAGATAAATGATTGTTGTATTACTTGAGACAGTACATTGCATCATTAAATGGTAGGCTTCCCGGTTTTTTATGTCAATGAATTTCCTTTTTATTTTCAACTTCTAGTATATATGAATCAACATTAATTATATAAGTTTTGAAGTATATGTGTATGAGTGTAGAAAAAGTACGTGTAAATCAGCTTTAAAGAAACTTCATTTTTATTCAATTAATTCATTGTAAGTAATAAACTCTGAAGGCTGTAATCACCTCTTATTGGATTGTGCCAAAAGTACCCACCTTAGTTAGTAGTAGTAACTGGAAATAAGTTGGCTAGCTTACAGGTGGTTAGATAGTTTACAACTAATAAGCTCTATAAATAGTACAACATTGTAATTTATTGATTATTTTTCTATATGTAACATTTGACAATTGTTGTTATCCTTAACCTCTTTAGCAAACTAGTGTTTTTGTCAGATTTTCTCTTCCTCTGATATCAGAGATTGTAAGATCAATTCATGTATACATTGTAGTTAAATCTATTTATTATATATGGAAGAGAATGAAGAAGTGAAAAACACAAGAAGGGGGGTTGAATTATAAAACTTGAAATCAAATGCAGACAACACGTTATTTTTATCATGGTTCGTTTGATCTCAAACTACTCCAGTCCACCCGTCAAGGTGATTTCGCCTCTCTCCACCGAGGTCTTAATCCACTATATTCAACTGAATATTACAACTGCTTTAACAACTGCTAAAGCCTTCTTGAGTCAAAACCACAAACCGGTTTCTCAAGGAAATACTTTCTTACAGATAAATGAAATCTAAGTGTGTTGA